GAAAGCCAAGGGGCTGGCTTCTCCCTTTTGCCGGAGGATGGTCCCTGCCCAACCCATCTCCCAGCTCCCCAAGCCCTTGTGTCGCTCCCACCAGAAGCAACGCCAGGGAGGAAGGAGGAAGGCCAACATAGGGAGCCAGCCCAGGACGGGGGTTAAGGGGGTGGGGGAGTCATTGGGGGCGAGGACCCCTCACACCTGAGGCCGTAGGAGGAAGTCCATGACTGGCAGGGCTGAACCAGGGAAGGAGAGGGAGGGGACTGGCCTGCGCCCCTTCCCAGTCACGTGCCCGCTGGGCCAAAGTGACCAATAATGGAGCTGATTGTGGCACTGGGGTTAATCATTAGACTCCTTAGGAAACTCAGGAGGGTGCCATGTGGGGCTGTAGCCACATGGGGGCAGGGAGGGGCGGGCCAGGTGGCACGTGGGGCTGAAGGGTGGGGCCAGTTACACTAGTCACTCTGCCCAGAAGCCAGCACTAGCACCAGCACAGACTTGACCTCAGCTTCTAAGGCCAGGTCAGAGAGGGGTCGCTGGGTTAGAGACCCAGGGTCCTCAAGGTTTCTGTGTGGGTCTTCCTTCAGGAAGCAGCGGCAGCTTTCTCCCCAGGACTATGGGTATTTAGGACACCTAAATACCCCCGCCCCCCTTCCTCCCACTGCAATACCCATTTTGCCCCCCAGACCATACTGCATGGTCAGGACACAGATGGCAGCACCCCTCCTAATCCATACCCACATAGGTACCCCTGGTTGGTGAGGACCCTTAGCAGAAGGGGAGTGAGACTAAAGGTCAGGGTTCAACTGACCCTGGGGGCAACACTCACCGTGCAGAAAGAATCTGCCCCCGAGGTGGGGCGCCGGGGGGCGCTGCTCATGGCCAAATCTTAGCCCTTTTCGCTGTCACTGCGGCTTTCAGGGCAACAAGGTGGAGGCATAACCTGGGTAGGGGAGATGCCCAGTCACCATCTGAAAGGGGCCAGGCTGGCAGGGCACCCAGCCAAGGGAAGAAAGAAGCCCGCCTGCCACACAGGTCTCTGCGCTGCTCAGGATCCTCTGGGCTGTGAAGGGCCTTGGAGTGGCCCTTAGAGGCGGCAAGAGTAAAGAGAAGAGTTATTTACAGGAAAAAAAAAGAGAAGAACAAAGAAAAAGGAGAAGACTGGGGTGAAGGGGGCCAAGAAGGGCCAAGAGACTGGGCAGAAGAGGGAGGAGGAGAGAAAAGGTGGGAGAGGCTGCAAAAAAAAAATGAGGAAGAAAGGAGTCAAGGCCCAGTCTTGGAGAGAAAGCAACAGAGACTGGGGAGGGTGTGATAAAGAACAGAGGGAGAAGGGGAGTGAAGGCCAAGACAGAAACAGGAACCATGCCCTAGGTGGCACCGGAGGTGGGCCTAAGACTAGAGAGGGGTGTGGTGGGAAGAGTGAGACACCCCATGGAGTGAGCAAGGAAGAGGGAGCAAGAGAACTCTGGGATGAGTCCAATATGTCAAGCCAGAGGGCAGCCGCAGGGAAGGGTAGCCCTGTCCCCAATGCAGGCCAGGCAGGAAGACTCCCCAGGTGCATGTTGGGGGGTAGGCAGGAGAGAGTTAGACCCCCTGGGTGAAGGGCAGGAAACCAACCCCACTCACTCAGTAGGAGGGAGGAAGGGACAGAAAATGGGCACAGGCCAGGCAAACGTTTATAATGGGGGAGGGGCGTGTGATGGGTACTGAGGGAGTGGGCACAAGAGCTCTGAGGTTCCTACCCTGAGGGGCAGTCTGTCCCCTCCCTAGCCTGGGGCCAGGAAAATCTGAGTGGCAGGGCTGCCACCTCCTGACCGTGACTGTAGTGAAGGCTGGGGAGGACACTGTGTATGCTGGGGGGCAAAAGGGGAGCTGCAGGGCTGAAACCTAATTGGTGCAAATTGGGGGACCCATTCCTAGTGAAGGCAGCACAAAGGGGATACCCAAGGCATCCTGAAGGAAGCTCCCCAGTGTGCTAGGGAGTCAGGGCTGCCCAACTTAGGGGTGAGACAGGTCAGTGTAGGATCAAATGATAAAGGCTTGGGGGGTCAGCCCAGAGTGGGGAGCCTGGGTGACACATTCCTGGCAAGCACTTCAACTCAGCTGACCACTCTCTTCATCCTCCCCAGCAGGCCTTCAGCCAGGGCAATCCCGTGGGAGCTGGGGGGCCCACTCTGGAATGGGTGTGGAGAATCAGTCCGGAGCACCTGCAGGTGCCCACTCCCACCTCCAAGCTGTGCCCTCAACGTACTCCGCTGCCATTCCCTCCTTTTATTCACGCCACTCCACCCCTCCCCCGCTGTCCCAGAACACAAAGCAGCTTCTGTCCAGAGCATCGCGCCGATAATCCGAGTGGGGGCACATTCCGGGACCAGCCCCGACCGGCCCGGAGGATTAGCCTTTTTTCCCCCTGCCCAAGGGATTAGCACCTCGGACCCCTACTAGGGCATTAACCACCTCCCAAGTGAATTCGTACATTCCACAGCTCTTGGATGTGGGGCTGGAGGGGGAGGGAGGGAAGGAGGGAGAGTAAATTTCTGGATTTCAGAGATTTCAGACAACGCCGTCCCCAAATCCAGTATAGAATTCCCCACCCAGGCAAACCGGACCCCGAGATTCAGTCAGGTCCAACTCTCTGGGCTCTTCTTTTTCATATCCACCCAGATGCTCCCTCTTCTGCCTGACCTCTTGTCCCGATCTGACCCGCCACTCCCCTTTCCCGGCTCGCCTCCCAGCCCGGAGTTTGGGGGCGGAGGGCCCCGGCAACCCCCAGGCGGAGCGCCCAGACAAAACTAAGGGGCAGTGCAGCTGGGTCGCAGGAGAGGGGAATTGCCTGGAGACTGCCTGGATTGGGAAGGCCGGTGGCGCCTCCCTGAGACTACTCCCTCCTGGTGGCAGGGGGCGCGGCACCCTGGCTTTAAGAACTCTTAAGAAGCGGACCCCGGAATGCCCGCTTCCAACCAGCATCCACTTGCCTCGAGGTCCGTCTCCCCAAGACCTCGATTCCCCGCGCCCCAGTCTCCGCCCTTTCCTCCACTTCCACTCCCTCCGCACGAGTCCCGAGTCCCCCCCCTCCTCCCCCTCCCTTCCTCCCTCCGCAGCTCTGGCCCTCCCCCGCCACCACCTCTCCGCTTACCCGCTTGGTCTGGACTTCACGCCCGGGGGTCTCGGGGGTCTCTCCCCGTCCACCGGCGCCCTCGCGCGCTCCCGACGACTCCCCCGTGCCCACCCTGGGGCGCGCCCCTGCCGCTCCCAACTTCTCCCAACTCAACTTTCCCCCGCGCCGCGGGCAAGCCAGCCCCCTGCGTGCGCGCCCCCCGGCGCACCGTGCGCGGTCCCGGCAGAGCGGGTCGGGAGGCGGGGAGCGGGGGCCGAAACCAGGGCCGTGGCGGGGGCGCGCTTCCAGGCACTGCTTAGCACCCCGGGGCCGTTCCAGCGGCCAGTTGCCACCTCCCTGAGAGGCTGCCACCACGGGGTTCCCCAGAGAGGGCTCAGGCGTCCCCGGGACGCCGTCTCTTGGCTCCATTAGGCACCTCTGGGCTGAAAGGAGCCCACCTCACGCGGGGAATCCCATGCAGGAAAACGCAGGCACTAGGATCGCTAGGAAATTCGGGGCAAAAGAAGTTGAAATAGAAATGCATTAGGACCAAGATTCTCTGGCACCCCGCCCCTGCCCAGATACCTCCAAGAGAGACCCTGTCTTTGTCTAGGGTACGAGGTGGCAAGTGAGAGGGGGTGATAGCGTGGAGGTTGGCTGCCGGTTATCTTCAGCTGACCTAGGGGAGACAACTTGTTAGGCACCCCCCACTTTCTAAGAGAGACAGATTCCCTGGGATGGCCTGGTTCCTAGGCTCTGTTACTTGCACACTGAGTTAAACCCTGTTCATAGCCATCACCTATTATTTAAAGACTTTTGTGTGTTTTCCCAACTAAGTTATAAATTGTTACAGATAGCACTTTTTTTTTTAGCCTGCCAAATACGTAAGGCACAGCATTGCATACGCAAGAGCATTCAGATATGAACGAGTTAATTAAATGTTTAGCACCAAATGTGGTTTCAGGGCTGAGGAGTGCTGTTTAGAGTCATTTTTGCCCAGTTCACAGCCCTCAAGAATGCAATCATGAGACGATTAGAGAGCAGCACAAGAAAATCTATAATCAACTCCTTTCAGGAATGAGGTAAGGGCTGCTCCAAGTGTACTATCCGTCTGTGGTCATGTCTGTTGAGGGGGGTAACCAGCCTGCCGGCCCTCGTTCCTCGACCACACCCTGACAGACTCCAGTATCCCTGCTCTGGAGACTGAGATCTGGCGGGACCCCTAGGGCTCCAGCCAGTCGTCTTGGCAGCCGCGGGTAAAGTGGCTAGTCTTATGGGCTCCAGCAGAGAGAGGGGTCTTTGGCGTGTTTCCCCCTCCTCAAATCCAGCCTCAAATGGGCACACCTGCCTCTCTTTCCAGCCCTGTGGTCAGCTGCCCCTGTGAAGTCCTCAGCTGCAAGACATTCCTCAGAGCTATTCCACAATCAATCCTGGGGTCAACCAGGTGAGGTCTGGAGAGAGGTGAAAACCGGTACCGACGACTCCCCCGTGCCCAACCTGGGGGAGTCAGGGACGGGGTCGCTGGGAACTCAATACCACCAATCGGGTCAGAGCCGGGCCACTGAGGCCCAGGATTTAGGCCGCCAAACTCCAAACCAAGAGCGCCCCACTCCCACCCCGCTGCATTCTGGAACGCGTAGTCCCGGAGCGGCCCTTTTCGGGAGCACGGAAAAAGAGTAACAAGAGCAGGGCACACTGGGAACCACGGCGCCAATGCGGGGACCCCTGGAAAGCGGATACGCGATGCTTCCTGGGATTTGAAGTCCAGGGTTTGCCTCTGCTGTGGAACCAGAGCCCCGGAGTCGAGTGCGGCAGAGCTCCTAGGCACGGCCTGCTGGGGGTTGTAGTCTTCTCGGCCGCAGTCCCGGGCGTTACTCGGAGAGCTGGCCGTCCTAGGACTACAAGCCCCAGAAGCCCTTGCGCAGGCTGGGGGGCGGGGCGGGATGGAGGCAGGGGTGCCACCTCCTCTGCAACGCCGGGGCCGGAGTGTTAGAACCGAGGGCCCGCAGGGGTCCCTGCGGCCGCCAAGATGCAGAAATACGAGAAACTGGAGAAGATTGGAGAAGGTAATGGAACCAGGAGATGTTTCTGCAAGATCTTCTGTAGACCTTTCGGCATTCCTTGCAGCCCTGGCTCCCCTACCATCAGCAAAAGCTGCAGGCTTAGACCTCAGCGCTGGCCACAGTCCTGGACCGGAGCTCAGCACTTGGTGCAGACACCAGTCTTCCCCACGTAGCATTTCCCGCAGACTCCCACTTCCAACCTTAGCGCTCCCTGTAGAACCAACCTCTCGACCGCGGCACTTCCTGCATTTCCCATCCCAGTCTCAGTACCAATTGCACAACCTCACCCCACCCCTCAGCCAGTGTTCTCCCTGCAGACCTCCAATCTCAGCATTTCTGCAGGCCCTCGAGTCCTCTTCCAGGCCAGTCTTCATTTTTTCCAGAATCTCCGAGCATCGCTTTCGTTATTGACATTCTTACCCTGACAGCCCAGACTCCTGTCCAGACCCTTGACAGGCATCTTCTCTCTCCTGCCTACTTCCCACATCCTCACTAGAAGCTCTTTCAAGCCTGGGGCTTTCACCGTGAATCCCTTCCTTTGTACACCCAGGAGGCACATCCCTTCCTTCTGAGGTGGAGGAGGTGCCCCATCCTTTCCCTCACCCCTGACCTCCTCCCCTAGGCACCTATGGAACAGTGTTCAAGGCCAAAAACCGGGAGACTCATGAGATTGTGGCTCTGAAACGGGTGAGGCTGGATGACGATGATGAGGTAGGCCTGAGGACGGGGTCAGGGAAGTGGTTGAGGGTAGGGCTGCCTGGGATCTGACTGTTGCCCACTCGGTTCCCTCACACATGTAGGGTGTTCCGAGTTCTGCCCTCCGGGAGATCTGCTTACTCAAGGAGCTGAAGCACAAGAACATTGTCAGGTGTGTAAAGGCAGGGCTGTCCTTGCCCACATAGCTGGTGGGAAGAGGTGGGGGCTTCGGCACGGGCTGGGCTAATGTTGGGATGTGAGGAAACTTGAGCCCTTCCTTTCCCCTAGGCTTCATGACGTCCTGCATAGTGACAAGAAGCTGACTTTGGTTTTCGAGTTCTGTGATCAGGTGAAGGGAGAGCTGGAGGAATAGTAGTGTTGGGAAGGTGTAGGGGCCCAGACTGAGGTTAAACTCTGTCTCATTCTCCTACCCCATTCCATTTTAGGACCTGAAGAAGTATTTTGACAGCTGTAATGGTGACCTGGATCCTGAGATTGTAAAGGTGAGGAGAGTGGTGTCCAGGGGACTCCTCGAGGCTGGGGTTGTAGTCTATATTCATTCCAAGCCCTCTTTGAGCACCAAGTTTGGGCCCTGAAAAGGGACACTTTGAGGTGTCAGAGAATGAGAAACCATTTCTGCCCTCCAGTAGCCTCTGATCTTAGCAAGTATAGTCATGTGACCTGAAGAAACAACACTAAAATCAATGACCCTTTACACTTGACAGGCGAGAAAGTAAGGCTCAGAGTCATATGGGCATTCATTCTGCAGACACTGAGTGCATCTCTGTGTGCCAGGCACTCTTCTAGGCCCAAGACCCAAGTGCCTTGATTCAGGTTCCCAGGGAGCCAGGTTCCAAATAATGCTATAACACATAGTTTATGGTGAGGTGACAAGAGTGTGCTCAGACACAGCCAGCTAAGGGAGGTCAGGATGGGCTGGGAAGGCAAGAAGACCCATTAGATTGTAAGGTCCAGAAAGGTAGGAAACAAGGCCAACTTGTTCACTGTTGTACTTTGAGTACTGGGCACAGTGTAAGCAAGTCCTGAACAGTGAGTGAATGGTGTCATATTGATCTGAGGTATGACAGGTGGATGGGGGTGAAGCGAGGCAGAGGATGAAGGAGGTGACCCACCCTTGGGCACAGCAGCAATACCAGGGTGTCTGACTCTGATCTCTCTGCTCCCTTCCCCAGTCATTCCTCTTCCAGTTGCTAAAAGGCTTGGGATTCTGTCATAGCCGCAACGTGCTACACAGGGACCTAAAGCCCCAGAACCTGCTAATAAACAGGGTACTTCTCAAGGGAGAAGGTGGGAGATGGGGGAGGCTGGAGCCAGGGCCTGGGAGTGCTAAGGGTACAGAGCCTAGCAGGAGGGAGGTGAAGCCTGCACTAACTGCTAAGGCCTCTTCTCCCCTTCCCATTCCCCTCAGAATGGGGAGCTGAAGTTGGCTGACTTTGGGCTTGCTCGAGCCTTCGGGATCCCTGTTCGCTGTTACTCAGCTGAGGTGACTAGAAAGTGGGCTGTGGGTTGAGGGAGGGAGTCCCTCAGCTCCTACCAGGACCCAAAGCAGCATTCTCCTCTCCTGTCTGAGTTTCTGCCTCCAACCTCCTCCTCCACCCTCTAAGGGGGAGGGGGTCCCTGTGGGTGGGGTCTCTTCCAGGTGGTCACACTGTGGTACCGCCCACCTGACGTCCTCTTTGGGGCCAAACTGTACTCCACCTCTATTGACATGTGGTCAGCCGGCTGCATCTTTGCAGGTGATACTCTGGGGCTTTGCAGAAGCACTTTGCCTTCCATTTGGGTTGACAGGCAGGAACTGGAGGTTCTCATCTGGGAGCAGGGAGTAGGACCTTGGGCTGGGGATGGAAGGTGTGGGGGTACCTGGGAGTGAGGGGCCTTAGTCCCCTCTTTCCCCCAGAGCTGGCCAACGCTGGGCGGCCTCTTTTCCCTGGCAATGATGTCGATGACCAGCTGAAGAGGATCTTCCGATATCCTTCCATTTCCCTTCCCCTCAAGCCCTCTGGAAGGAGGCTGACCTGTGGAGCATGCCCCACAGGGGGTGAGGGTGGGATGGCCTTGGGCCAGGATGGTGGGGTCTGCAGGGATCCTCCTGAGGGCAAGGCAGGGGCAGCAGGGGTGCTGGACAACCGCCTATAGACAAGCAGTGCACTCCTCCAGATGAGCCATGAATAATTAAATTAGGGTGTAGCAGACAGAGTTTTGTGAGAGTGGAGTCAGAACTGGTTTGCTAGGACTGGACTTCAGGACTCAAGCTAGGTGAGGGAAGCTGGTGGGGCCACGTGGGGGGCTCACCTCTGCCACAGCTGAGGAGAAAGAAATGGATAAGAGGAGGCTGTGGTGGGTGAGGAATGCCCCCTAGGAGGGGAAGAGCCCCTCACCCTCCCCTAAAGTTGCAGACATTGCCGTCTCCATGAATGATCCTTGACCTGGTAGACACACTTCTGGGGACACCAACTGAGGAACAGTGGCCTGCCATGACCAAGCTGCCTGACTATAAGGTGTGATGGGTGGGAGGAGCATAGTTTATCAGGGTCCCTGTTCTTTCATGTTCCTAGCAGCCTACACACCCCCATGCCCCTGGTCTGCTTCTCCCTGCCTCTCCACAGCCCTACCCGATGTACCCAGCTACAACATCGCTGGTGAATGTTGTGCCCAAGCTCAATGCCACAGGGAGGGACCTGCTGCAGGTAAGTGACCAGAAGTAGCAGGTGGGGGTTCAGACACTTGTCCAGGGGAACTAGACAAAGGCAGGCTTCTGGGCAGCTGACCTGTCCTGAACCTGCCACCACTTTTTCCTCCCTGACTCCAGAATCTTCTGAAGTGTAACCCTGTGCAGCGCATCTCAGCAGAAGAGGCCCTGCAGCACCCCTACTTCTCTGACTTCTGCCCCCCCTAGGCACCAGGACTGCTGGCCGCCAGGCTGGAGCCTGGCCTTGTTTGAGCCCCCTCCTGGGAGGGGCGGGCCAGTGGGGATACAGCTCAGATGCTGAGTTCCAGCTGTGCTGGGCCTGGGCAGGGTGGAGGTGCCTAAGCCGATGTTTGTCACTCCCTCTGTGGACTTTATTTAATTTCATAAATTGGCTCCTTTCCCACAGTCTGGCTGATGTGATGGTCCAGTGACTGCAGGGGTGTGGACTGGGGTCTCTGCTTTGCAGCCCTGCCTCCCCAGCTCAAACCAACCCAACGGTCCTCAGACTGGGAGATGGAAGCCACTACACCCCTCACTGCTGGGGTCAGGACAGCCTGGCCTTGTGCACATGTGCTTGTGCACACCCTTTCCTTTCTCTGCCCAGATGGGTGGTGGCCAGCATTTGAGAGCAAGGGAGGGCTTCCCCCAGAATGGGAAAGAAAGGGCCTCTCCTTGTGGTTCTCCATATCCCATGTGGACATTCTTTTCCCTTTCCTCCCCATGTCCCCATACCCAGGCTGCAGGCTAGGAAAGACTTAAAGCATTAGGAACACCCCCCACACACTCCCTGTTTGCCAATTTTCCAATGTGTAGGGTGCAGTCAGAGAAAGGGAAATTGAGCCTATGGCTGGGTGTTGGTGCACCCTTACTGGCAGGAGGGGGAAGGAAGGGCTCACCCCACCCCCACGGTCTTAAGCTGGGGCCTTCGGTTTTTGTGGGGAGGCTGGGAAAGCAAGAATCATTCCCATGAACAGGCTGTGTGCCATGCTTGGTCCCAAATGTAAGAAAGGGAGCCTTGATATTCTGAGGCAGGAAAACAGCTGTAGTCTGGGGAGTGGAATGGCTTCTTTGTCCTCTCACTACCCCCACTTCTTGCCAGGCTCTGGATCAGAGCTTTCTTCCAGCCTCACGGCCACTGTGTGATCACTACCTGCTACCAGCTCCTGTCCTCACTCCTAAGTTCTGGGCTTGGATGGAGCCTGTCCTTCCTTCTCTCTGTGATATCAATGTGATAGATTCCTTCACACCAAGGTGCCAGTGACTGATCTCTGCAGCAGATTCATGGGGTTAGCTGGGGCCCAGCCTCTCTTTTCAGAAGCCATATGTAGCCAGATGATGGCTGGCAGAAGACTTCCTGTGCCTGCGTAGGGCTGACCTGGGCCTGACTCATTTCCTGCCTATGAAAGGAACACCTGAGGCTGATGCATTAGAACTTTATTTGGGGTGAAGATGGCAAAGCTCTGTGCAGGCTGGGCATGTCCAGGATGTCAAGGCGTGGCCCTAAGGACATAGCAGGTCTAGAGCCGAGTGACAAGGTAGCAGGTGCGGTGGGAGGTAGAAAGACTCTTGGTGACAGCACATGGTGGGGTGGGAGGCCTGTGGAACAGACCACAGTGCTGGGGCCAGAGGCCTTCACACCTGCTATCTTGGTCTGCCCCTGTCCTCTTGGACTTGAATTTCATCCCTACATTGGACTTGCCCCTCCTCCCTTGGCCTTTGGGGGCCATGTTGCATTACCTAGGGCCCAGGCTGAGGTGGGGAACTTGGGTTGCATGGCTGCCCATCCCTTCCTGAAGCTGTGGGAGGAGGAGAGAAGAGGGTCAGAAGTGAGAGGGTTCCTCTTCCCAGGGACCGGCCAAGATCACTGCACACCCCTTCCCTGCTTTTCTGTTTTTCCTCATGAAGTAGGGAGGATGTTTTAGGTTTCAGGGAGGGGCCTAGCACCGGGCTGTAAGTCTGGGAAGGCTGTTACCAGGTTGGTGTTGGAGTGCCTTTGGGAGCGCCTTCGGTTCCAGAAATAACCCAGGACCCTGTCTCGGAACACCTGGAGGCAAGCAGCAGCAGGAGGTGGCCAGTGCACACCTTCCAAGGATCCTAGTGGTGGACCCCTCCCCTGCCCGGGCTGGGGCTCTGGCCCACCTCACAGAGGTAGTCTAGGATCTCAAGGATGGTGAGCAGGCTAGCCCCGATGAACAGCCCCATCTGGCCCCCAATGTCGCCTGTGGAGACAGTCAGCTTTCAACTCAGCCACCTGCCCAGCCCACACCTCCCTAGCCTCGGCACTCTGCACACCGAGCAGTGCCGACATTTCATATGCCTTCTTCTGCTCCACCGTCTCGTAGTTGAGGGCTTCAAAGAAGATGTCCAGGACCAGCACGTTCTCCCTGAAGGGGGGGAAAAAAAGGCCTCGGATGTTCGCTGGACAACCTTTGGTGCCAAGAAGCCCGTGCGGATACTCTGGTCCTCCCAAGAACCCTGGGAGAGGCATCAACAACCCTGGGAGGAAGGGTTAAGCAAGCAGCTGGTGCAGAGGCGCAGCGCCCATGCAGCCGCGGAGACCGGTGTCCAGCCCGGGCTGTGCGCACGAGAGAGAGCTCGGGTCCAGCCCGCACACCCCGCTGGGATCCCCTCCGCCTGCTCCGAAGCCTCCAGCCCCACCCGGCTCACTCGATGTAGGCCTCGCTGCGGTTGAATTTCCGGGCGAGGTAGCGGGAGGCGGCACGGCTCGGAATCCGCACCATGGAGAGCTCCTTGGCGTAGCGTGTGCTGGCGCAGGGGTTGGGGCAGGCGCACACGTCCTTCCGCTGCACGGCACCTGCGGGTACAGGCCTGGTCAGCGCAGCCGGTCCGGGGACTCTGGGTCGAAGGCCGAGCCGGTGCGGAAGACGAGGTGGGAGAGGCTCGTCCCTTACCCAGGGCTGTGCTGGCGCAGTTCTTATGCTGCTGGGGGCTGCACACTGGAGCGCCGCCTGAGGCGGGGAGGAAAGGAAATGACTTCAGGAGAGGCTGAGTGGCCAGGATCAACACACATACACTGACTCCTCTTGGCCCCTTACCAGGCATGTGCATCATTCGACAGCCACACTTCCGAGCCACATAGCGGGTCTCACAGACCAGGCGACACCCCGTTAGGGTATAAGGAGGGCTGGGCCTGATGCTGGTGCTGGGGTGACCCAGAGGATCAGAGGGCTCTGGCTCAAAGTCAGGGTCCAGAGACACGGAACTGCAGTCACCCCAGGGAGGTGGCAGGAATCTCAACTGTGGAGGGACAGGTTAAGGAGTCCTGGGTGGGGGCCTGGACAGGTCTGGGACACAGAGTTGAAGGTCTGTGGGGTTGGGGGGCCGATGGGCTGGACAGCTTGGGAATGGAGGTTTTGAGGTCCAGGTGAGGATACTTGCTGCTGCTGGCAGGACACAAAAGTCTGGTAGCCAGGGGCCACCCCGAAGCCTAGCTGGTCGATCAGGGGCGGCTCCTCCTGGCTGTGAATCTGGACTCGGATCCCCACTTCAAACAGGTTCTCCTCTGTGGGACAGGGGCCTTTGAGGCCTAAGACTCCTCCCTCCCCCACAGGCAGTCTTGCCTCCCCATTCAGGCAAGAACCCCCTGCAACCCTCTCTCCTCAGGATGGGGAGGAGCCTATCCTGCCCCTTTTCACAGGGAAGGACACTCCTTGGCCCCTCCCTGGCCTCCTCTCTTCTTCCCCTAAGCTTTTGCACTCCATCTGTGTTCCCCCCAGCCTGCATGTGTCCCTCCCCATGGGCAGATCCCCTCCCCCTCACGTGTGCTCTGTACCCATGTCCCCCAACACAGCCAGACCCCCCCACTTCACATATGTGCTCCATACCCATGTCCCTCCACATAGGCAGATACTCCTCCTGCTGCACATCCAGCATGACCTCCAGCCCATTACCGGCACCACCCTTGGTGGTGGTGAGCAGCTCTGCCCCGTCAATGCCAGAGTTAAAGGTGTAACACTGCCCCATCCTGGTGAAGATCTAGGGGTGGGCAGACAGGGCAATAGCCCTCTCTCCCAGGCAAGCATGCAAGTTGTGGGATGCTTTATTCATGCTTTATTCAGGTCTCTTATTTGAACAGTGCAGCCCAAATCTCAATGCCTCTTACCACACCCTCCCCTGGAGCACATATAGTTGGATCCTTTGGTAGCCCATCCCTCCAACTCATCCACTCCCCACCTCTCTACAAAGCCCATGGCACAACCCAGAGGGCAAGTGTTCTCTGAGTACTGGGGTGAGAGGAGATGGGTCCCACCCTCCACTGGGGCTGGCACAATACTCAAAAGGGAGAGGGGAAAGCAAGGCCCCTTGCACTGGCAGGGAGAGAGGTCTACTGCTCTAGAACAATCCCACTAGGAGACCACTGCCTGCCCCAGAAGTAGGGTCTCCACAGGCCTGACCATGGGCCTGAAGCCAGGCTGGGGCTTGTCCCTCCCTCAGAGGACTGCTTCCTGGGCTGAACAGAATGGCACAGAGACTGGGAAGCCATGGCCTCTGTGGGCCAAGGAAGGGAAACCCTGGGCATATATGTTAGGGTTCCCTGGCTTTGGGGCAGGCTGAGCAGGACAGACAGGGTGGTCAGCTCACCGTAGTGAAGTTCTCTGGCCCACATGGTTGACCACGGTAGCTGCAGTCCAGCAGCATGTCCTCCAAGGCATGCCCAGCACGGGTGTAGAGCTGCGCCATGTCGAAGGTGGGACTGGGCATGAAGCCGGGTGGTGCAGGAGGCTGACCCAGGGCGCGCAGGAAGGCTGTGTGCTCGGCGGGGTCTAGGCCCAGTAGTGCCGGCCCAGCCCAGTGCAGGTCATTGGGTGTGAGGTGTGAGCGGCGCAGTGGGTTGATGTTGCACAGGGTGACAGCTGGAAAGGTGAGCTGGCGGCTTTCTCGCTCTTCCAGGGCTGTCTGGTGGTGGAATTCCCGGTAGTAGCGCACCCTCCCAGCCACCTGGTAGAGGAAGGCAGACACCGACAGGAGCACGGCCACGGCCCACAGGGCCCGGCGCACGGTCAGGCCACCAGGCCCAAAAACATGGCCCAGCCCGTGCAGCGTGCAGCTGCTGGCAAACACACAGATGTCTGAGGTTGACTTCCTGGTTTCCTCTGGCCCTGGGGGCTTCATGGCCAGAACCTGGAGAAAGCCACTGCAAGGGCTGGGGGCAGGTAACCAGCTACAGGGTATTGGAAAGAGAGAGAGGGTGGGTGGGAGGGCTGAGATAGGATTATCGTGGCCAGACAGGGGCCACTGCAGGTAAGGCAAGGGGAGGAGAGGAGAGGAGTGAATGGGAGAGGAGCCAAGGGTGCAAGGTGGGAGGTGCTGGCCTGTGGGCTTGGAGGAGGTGACCCGGCCGGTCCAGCTGGGTCTTCCCCAGGAACAGGCAGTAGCTCCGTTGGGCCAAGCACTGGGCTGGGGGCTCCGCAGCCAAGGCCAAGTGGGGTGCAGTCAGCCGTGGCAGCCAGGGTCTGCAGCAGTGCTGAGCTGAGCTACTGCAGAGGATTGAGTTTCAGCAGCAAGGGGGGCAAGGGGCTGGCTGAGCAGCCTGGGGGCGGGAGAGCTCCCTGAGGCCCCAGGCTGAGCCATTAGTGGAGCATGGGGGTGGGGGGGGCGTGGCTGTCAGAGACCATAGACGCCAGGGGGAAACCACAGGTTCTAGCTAGGGCTTGAGGGGAGCCCAGAGATAACTTGGGCCAGGGGTGCCTTTGGAGCCCTCTAGATTACAGTTGCAGCCCCTGTATATCAGGCCTGAGGGTCAGTCACTGACCCTTGGCCTGGCTCCTCCCTCCTTCTGGCTTCCCAACCTTCCCAATGACCTCACCCAGGAGCATCTGTTCTTTCACAAAGAGTAGAGTTGGCTCTTGACCAAGCTGGAAAGTGATTGGAACTTTGGCATCAGTAGCTCTCTTTTTTCTGTGCCCCCAGAGTCCCAGCCTCCACTGGCCAAGTCCCATATCCAGGGCCTGGCTATTTCTTGAGTGTCCCCTTATCTCTAAAGAGTCAGACCCTGCTTCCTCACAGGCTTTCGTGTTGAGGAGACTGGCCACTACCATGATGGGTGTGGGCTCACCTATCAACCCCCAAGTAACAGGTGTGCCCCACCTACCACCCTCCCCCCGGGGTTAGCATGAGTGTCCCACTTGCCACAAGCATCTTACAATATGATATCCAGGCCTGGAAAATGCCCTCATTCTTTTAAATGGTTGCCCACCACCCTGTCAGGTGGACTTAGCAGTTTATTTTATGGCTGCCCTACAGATGAACACTGTGGTTTCTGCCTCTGTTCTAATGTTGCTGTCAATACCACCACCCAGATACAAAATTGCTGGTATCACAAGTCAAGAGGCCCCTGTGTTGGTAATGTGATAGATGAAATCAAGTTCTCCCCCATAGGAGTCATACCATTTTGCACTCCCACCAGTAATGTGCAAGTGTGCTTGTTTGCACAGGGCTTTGAAAGCTGGCCTAAAGAGGGCAGGGCCAGTGCAGTTATTTGACCAAAGACTTCTTGTGATGATCCAGAGGATGGGGTGGGTATCAGGGTGGGGAGGACACCTGAGGCAGAAATCTCCAGAAAGCGGTTACTGTTCCCAAGGTCAGAGACAGAAGGCCTGAGGTAGAATAGGGCGTCCTACTGATCCATGGCCTTGCCAGGCTCAGGGCCACACACACAGAGGAAAGCCAGGGCCTGGTCCTTGTCAGTGTCAAGCTCTGCATGTGGTCAAATGCTCACCTGCACCATGTATTTGGGAATTGGGCAACACTTCCTTCTATGCCTGAAAAAAAGCAGGCTCACCTCCATTAATTTATTTATTGAAATTTATTTCTACTCCATCTTCCTCCAAAAAGTACTTGAGGCTGCCAAGTTCATTTTGGTGAGCTTTGGACCTGAGTGGTAAAAAAATGGTTCCACCAACCAAATGGGAACACACCACACTATGACTGCCTGCCCCCCTGAAGGGACCACAAGCTTTGCTGGGTAGGGCCTATCCTCATTCCCCACTATAGACTCAGTGGCAGAGAAGTGCTGAGTTAATAAATAATTTGGAAGGGCTGATTGAATAACATGGTTTATAGTATAGATGTGACAACTTTCCAAAGCTACAGTATTGGGATTTCAACAGCAGATTATCCTTTTAAACTCTTAAAACAGGCTCGGCGCCTGTGGCTCAAGCAGCTAAGGCGCCAGCCACATACACCTAAGGTGGCGGGTTCGAATCCCCAGCCCAGGCCTGCCAAACAACAATGATGGCTGCAACCAAAAAATGGCTAGGCGTTGTGGCGGGCGCCTGTAGTCCCAGCTACTTGGGAGCCTGAGGCAGGAGACTCGCTTGAGCCCAGGAGTTGGAGGTTGCTGTGAGCATGATGCCATGGCACTCTACCCAGGGGGATAGCTTGAGGCTTCGTCTCAAAAAAAAAAAAAAAAAAAACTCTTAAAACAGGCTTTTGGCTCAGTGCCCATAGCACAGTGGTTATGGCACCAGCCACATACACTGAGGATGGTGGGTTCAAATCCAGCCTGGGCCAGCTAAACAACTGCAACAAAAAAATCGCAGGTGTTTTGCCAGGCACCTCTAGTTCTAGCTATTCAGGAGGCTGAGGCAAGAGAATCACCTAAGCCCAAGAGCTAGAGGTTGCTGTAAGCTGTGACACCACAGCACTCTACTGAGGGCGACAAAGTGAGACTCTGTCTCTAAAAGAAAACAAACAAAAAATTTAACATGAAGTGTAGAATATAAATGTCTTAACACAATAACTAAGAAAATGTGGTGAAGAATATGTTAACCAGTTTGATGAAAATATTTCAAACGGTATATAAAACCAGCACATTGTACCCAATTGCATTAATGTACACAGCTATGATTTAATTAAAAAATAAAACAAAACAAAACCAGGCTTTCAAGATCAAGCACAGCCAGGCACGTGATCTCTATAGACCAGTAGAGCCTGAGCCTGAGGTGAGGTCACACACCAAGTGCTGTCACAGCAAGTGCAGACAGCATGGCTCTTCAAGCTTGACCAGTCATGAGGCTTCACCACTTCCCTAGTAGGTGGGGGGTTGGAAGGCTGGACTCCAAGAAGCCACTGTGAAGATGTAAGCAAACACCCAGAATCTGGTGTCAGAAGGTATCTTGGGCAGTCCTCAGATGGTGGATAAGCAGTGAGGTCCTACAAGGGAGAGGGTAGGCAAACAACCTGGGTGGTGGAGGGCAATGTGGACTTGCCAGGCATGGGGGGGCCCACCCTGGACCATGCTAGGGAGGCGTTTAGTGGCAAAGCAACCTGAAGCCAGCTCCTGCCTAGAAAAGCAACCTTTGATCAGGAAGCAGGGTATCTAAAGGGGCAGGTATAGTTCTGGGGTAGCTTGTGCCAGAAGTAGCATCTGGTCCCAAACCGTGCTCACAGAGGCTAAGAGCCCCACCCCGGCTCCTGCACACACACCTGAGCTGCTGCTACCTCCTCCAGCCTGGCCTCCCTAAAGCAGCAGTCTGCTCTGTCTTTCCTGTGCCCCCACTCTGAAAGATGACACTGCCCTTCTTTCCTGCCAGATAAATCCAAAATGGTTGGCTGGCAGTGAAGGTACAGCACGGGCCAACTCCCCTCCCCTAGAGAGCAGGGCTCTGTGAAGGTCCACAGACTGGACAGCAGAATGGAAAGTGACAACAGTGCCAAGGTGAGGCCACCAGCCCTGGAGTGGGTACAGAGGGTTGATGCACCTGCAGCAGCACAAGAATATGAGGTTTTGGCTGCTCCTCAGTCCTAGGGTGGCAGTTCAGTACAAGGCCCTCTTTGCATGTCTTTCTAGGCCCCTTAGAAGCTGACTGGAGGTCAGCCCTTCCTGGTTCACAGCTTTGGGACTACATGCACATGTCATTCTGGCTGTCTGCACCTCCCTTTCAAGGTGCACCTTCCCGAGCACTCTGGGGAGGCTGGTCTGGCAGCAGCACTGTGCTGGGCGCTCCCTGCTGGTTTTGTACTTGTCAGTACTGTGGCCCTGCAGCTGAGAATTTTGGGTGTGCACTTGTCTCCTTCAGAGCTCGGTGCTCTCAGGGACTGAGAGGGGAGGCCAGTGCACAATCTCAGCAGGCCAGCAGCAGACAGCTGGGCAGGTGAGGTGCCCCTCCTACCCTAATCTAAGGGCTGGGCACTATTAGGCATGTGTCCCCTTGGGAATGGGGTGTGGAGATGAAATCTAGAAATTAGGACTATGTAAATGGAGCAAGAAGGGAGGTTGTTTAGAGAATGGGGAGTGTGGGCTCTAGAGTGGGCCAAGGCATACGTCCCTTCTCTCAGGCCCCAAGAGGGCAGTGGGAAGCAGGGAGTGTGGGAGGCAGTCTCCAGTCTAGGGCAGTGAGATCCTAGCAAGGGTGGGAAGAACCTAGGTCTGGACTTCAGGTGCTGATTTAATAAAATTCCCTGGAGCTGTGGCTTGGACAACTTGAGGCTGCTGGATAGAGCAGGAGCTTCAGCAGCAGGATTCTGAGAAGGGCCTGGTTGGTCTGGGCAGAGGGAGAGCAGAGTGCAGGGGCACTGGGAACTTGGCCTCTGCCCACATGCAACCTGGTGACCCTGGTAGGAGGGAGGCAGGACCAGGGAGCAGGTAGAAGGGCTCCCAGATTTCCAGCCCAGGGTTTATTGTGAGCAAGAGAGCAATGGCGGCCATCACACAGCACTCTGGCCCTCCTAGGGGCTCAGTCCCTAGTGAGCTGTCCTCAGCTGAGCCTGGCTGTGGCACTGATGTTCCGCAGAGATCTCAGAGGATGCCTCAGGACTTGTGCTGGTGCTCCCTGAGGCCTTCCAGCTTCTTGGGAGGTGTGGCCTCTGCCAGTGGTCCATCCAGGGCCTGTCTCCGGATAAGCTCTGCATATAGTCCACCTTTCTTCAAGAGCTCGTCATGTGTCCCAGCCTGGAGGGTAGGAGGGAAGGACAAATGGACAAATGGTTTCTCCAACCTAGTATGGACTTCAGAGCCCTAGAAGGGTTGCACTTCTTTATCAGCCATTGGGCTCACAGTTACTTAAGCCAGTGTCCCTTCTGGGGATGCTCTGAAGTCAAAGTTCAATCTGAAAGGAACTGTCATTGGCACAGTTGTATCAGTTCATAGCATTTACTGCTTAGCTGAATTCTGGAAGAATGTGATCCTTCCTGTCCCCTTTATAGAGTTCAAGGCTCTAACTCAGGACCTGATGCCCCATGAAAGCCCCTCAGTGGCTTGGGGCTGTGAGCCCCCATAGAGCTAAGGGACTGCTCCTGACCAGTCCCCAATCGGGGTGCCTTGTGCTGCTTCCTCTGCACCTCAGCCCCTGGGCAGCCAGACCTGCCCAGGCCCCACTCCACCCAGCACCACACACTTTTCTGAGTACTTTTCCTTTTGATCCTGGAAGCCAATAGTGTATTATACTATCCCAGGGGACAAAAGAAAAAATTGAGGCCCTGAGCATCCAGGCCTTGTCTAGGAGCAGGAACTCCTGAATCCATGTGGGATGCTGCTTCCAGAAAACTGTCTCAAGGCCAGACTCTCGCACAACTCAGCTGAGCCACCATCCCACTGACTGTGGCTGAGACCATCCCTAACCCAACCCTGTCCCCCAGGCCCAGACTAACCTCCCAGACACAGCCGTTGGCCATGACAACGATGCAGTGGGCTGCACGGACAGTGCTGAGCCGGTGGGCAATGACCAATACTGTACGGCCTGCACTGGCCCGGTCCAGGGCCTCCTGCACAACACGTTCAGATTCGGCATCCAGTGCACTTGTGGCCTCATCTAGGATCAGCACTGTGGGCTGCTTGATGAGAGCACGGGCAATGGCCAGGCGCTGCTTCTGGCCCCCAGACAGGGTGGTACCTCGCTCACCTGCAGGGGGAGGGCACAGGGCAAGGGCCTCTGCTGTACACTTGTGATACAGTGCCACAAAAAGGCACTAGGTCCTTCCTGAAGTCCTATCCAGCTCCTTTAAGTGCCCCCTCTTGGCACTGTGCACTTCTGCCCTGCCCCTCTGTGACACCCATCAGCTTCCCAATCCCATATCTCTATGCAGCCAGGTATATACCACTCACACAAAATAACACAGCAAGGCTCAGTGCCCTCCACAGGTGCGTGTCCCTCCCCAGCCATGGCAGTACCTCAGAGCTAGGATGAGCCACTCCCTGCCCTGTGCCTGCAGCTTTGGCTGCCTCCCTAGCCTCTAGCTCTCTGCTGCTGTGAGGATACCCCTCAACACAACATGGACTCCTGGGGTGTGGTAACTGTGGGGTGGGCAGTGGGATCCAAAGCCCACACAGGACAGGAGAAGTGGCAGCCTGGGACCCAAGAAGAACATCAAGGCAATGCAGCATCCCAGGTCAGCAGACAGTCAACCCTGACAAACCCCAGGCAAGTGTGAGTGTGCTAGGATGAGAGGTACGAGAGGTATAGGAAAGTACCACCCCAGAGAGATAGGGGGGAGCTCCCAGCCCCCAGGATGGTGTGGAGCATGAGCAGTATCAGTGCAGCCCATCAACACCCAGAACACAGAGGATGGGCTGCAGATAGCAGTGCCATACTCAGAAGGCTGGAGCTCAGTCAGACCAAGCAGAGTTGAGAACCCCAGATAGTTTTGCATCCAGAGAGATGCTGGAACATTCTGCAATAGTGCCAAGACACTGGATGATAATCATAGCCCCAAAGGTTAAGAAGAAATGACTCCTGAGGTAAACATGCAAAGCTGCAATAGGAATACCGAGTTCCCAAGCTCCAGGAGAGACTGTTAACTCAGTCACCCTATTGTAATGAGAGATGTCACAGAAGAATAGGATGGGAAGTAAATGGACCCGAAGAGTTACAAGGAGTTAACCCCCCCCCCACCATTTCTTCTCTTTGGTCTCAAGAAGTGGTGGCCCCTGTAAAGTTCTGTGAAGATTCCAAACATCACAAATCATGGTGTCCACGGCCAGGGTCCTGTCATATTCATTTTTTATTTTTTGAGACAGGGTCTCACTCTTTCTCTGGGGCTAGAGTGCAGTGGCACCATCATAGCTCACTGCAGCTTTGAACTGCTGGGCTCAAATGATCCTCCTGCCTCAGCCTCAGGTAGGACTACAGGTGTGCATTAACATGTCCAGCTAATCTGAATTTTTTTTTTTTTTTGAGATAGAGTCCATTCTGATACCCTGAGTAGAGTGCTGTGGCTTCATAACTCATAGCAACCTCAACTGGGCTCAAGTAATCCTCTTGCTTCAGCCTTCCAAGTAGCTGGGACTATAGGTGCCCATCACCACACCTGGCTAAGTTTCTATTTTTAGTAGAGTCGGGGTCTTGCTCTTGCTCAGGTTGTTCTTGAACTCCTAAGCTCAAGCAATTCACCTGCCTCAGCCTCCCAGAGTGCTGGGATTACAGGTGTGAACCACCATATCTGGCCTAAAAGTTTTATTTTTTTTTAGAGACAGGTCCTTGCTATCTTGCTCAGTCTGGTCTCAAATTCCTGTCCTCTAGTGATCCTGCCAAACCCTGTCATAGTCTCTTAACTCCTCTAGAGCCCTTTCTTTGTTGTTGAGACAGAATCTCCCTATGTTGCCCTTGGTAGAGTACCATGGCGTCACAGCTCACAGCAACCTCAAACTCTTGGGCTCAAGTGATTCTTTTGTTTCAACCTCCCAAGTAGCTGGGACTATAGGCACCCGCCACAATGCCCAGCTATTCTTTTGTTGCAGTTGTCATTGTTTAGCTGGCCTGGGCTGGGTTCGAACCCACCAGCCTTGGTGCACGTGGCCAGTGCCATAACCACTGTGCTACGGGTGCCGAGCCTCGGGAGCCCTTTTTGTTGTTGTAGCCTGCTTGGTATGTTGTACCCAAACTCCATGAACCCGGACTCCCCATCTCTCTTGGCTACAGTTCTGGTCAGCCCTAATGTATTGACTGTCTCTTTCCCCTAATCCCGATAAAGCTTTCACCTGTGTGTGACATCCCATCTCTCAGCCTTATGGTGCCCTGAAGGATTCCTGTCCTGGAACTCACCAACGATGGTGTTATAGCCCTCAGGAAAGTTGGTGATAAACTCATGGGCATTGGCTTCCTGTGCAGCTGCATATACCTCTTCATCAGAGGCTTCTGGTTTCCCAAAACGGATGTTCTCCATGATGGTCGTTCCAAACAGGACTGGCTCCTAGAGGGGAGGCATAGGGATGATCCACAGAAACATTCTGACTCTGCCTAGAGCTGTGAGGGGCTCCCATGAGCATCAGGAGAGTCTACCTTAGCAGGACCAGATTAGGATCCCTTAGAGAATCATAAGTTCAGAGTCAGGTTAAGTGAGGACTTACAATGGCCCAGAAACCCTCACTGGGAGGGTGGGGGAAGGAAGGCGACTGGGAGAGCAAGGCTAGCCAGCACAGTAGAGGGAGGAAGAGAGGTGGGGTTTACACTCTGGCTTTCCCCTGCTCATGGGCAGCTGGAATAAAGCCATGAATAAAGTGTTCCCTCTTTATTCATGGGCCCACGATGGCGAAGAGAGGACCATCGCTGGGCAGTGCCACTTGAAGCAGAGGGAAAGTGATTGGAGTCTCAGTGGTCTAGGCTGGGCTGTAGGTCCTCAACTAGGGGTGGATGGTGGCTTCCCGCAGTCCCAGCAACCCCACTGTGGGCTTCCTAGACCAGGAAACTATGGGCTGTAAAGAGAATCCCAGGGATCCTAACATTCCCCACCTGCACAGACTGCTTTATTTATTTATTTTTTATCACGATAGAGTCTCGCTATATTGCCCTCGGTAAAGTGTGATGTTATCATAGCTCACAGCAACCTCTAACTCTTGGGTGTAAGCAATTCTCTTCCCTCAGCCTCCCAAGTAGCTGGGACTACAGGTGCCCACCACAACACCCAGCTATTTTTTGTTGCAATTGTCATTGTTTAGCAGCCCCAGGCTGGATTTGAACCTGCCAGCCTTGGTGTATGTGGCTGGCACTGTCACCACTGTGCTAGAGGCACTGAGCCCACAGACTGCTTTAAATAGGGACCAAAGTGTTCCTGTCCTGGGAGACAAGGGCAGAGATGCAGGTGCCCCCAAGACAAGGACACCTCAAGACCCAGATGACAGCTTGGGACATGTGATGAAGGCTAGGGGCTTCCTGGGAGTGGGCAGATAACAAGAGTAGGGAGGAGAAAAAGGCCCCTGAGGGCTCAGAGGAGCAGGGGAGGACAAGGGATGGGGTCTGACGGCAGCATCAGGGGCCCCGCACCTGGCTGATGAAGCCAATGACGTGGCCACGGAGCCAGGAGGGGTCAAGGGTACGCAGGTCCCGCCCATCCAGTGTCACCACTCCCGCAGTGGGGTCATAGAAGCGCTCCAGCAGGGAAGCCACAGTGGTCTTTCCTGGGGAGGGAGGCAAGGGCTTCTGGAGAGATCCCGGCAAACCGAGTCCCTGGTGGCAGTGGAGGGAAACCACCCCCCACAGGAAGGCCAGGGCTCATGGATGCCAGAAGAAGAGTCAGAGGGTAGGGAGAGGGTGGTCAGATAGTGGGGGCTCCCCTTACCTCCCCCAGATTGGCCCACAAGGGCCACGACTTTGCCAGGGGGCAGCGTCAGGGTGAAGTCTCTGAGCACCTCGAAGCCAGGGCGGCAGGGGTAACTGGGAGGAGACAGCCATCAGACTAGGCTCCTGGCCCGTTGCCCTAGTCCTTCCTAAAGTTTCACCATACACTGGTGAGGCACTTGTTTAGAGGCTTTAAGCCAGACCTCCCCGCCTGGCTCCCCCAGCCCTTGGCCCAGAGGGGCTTGCCCTATTTTCATTCACCCTGCTTACCTGAAGCAGACATTCTGAAATGTGACAGAGCCTCGCAGATGCTCCCTGGGGATGCAGCAGCCCCCAGACAGGGGGATGCAGGGGCTCAAGGCCATGTACTCGAAGACCCGGGCGCCTGCGCTGAGCCCTCGCACCACCTATGGGGGAAATCCAAAGTTTACAAAGAGGCAGTAGTGGGGCTTGTAGGGACAGGAGCCCCTGGGAATAACCATGGCATCTCCCGATCACCATGCAGCAGCAGAGGGGGCTGTGGGTCTGGGCTCAGGTCCTTCTTTCCCTCTTATCCCCACTGATACCCACTTCCTGCAGCACCATACAGATGACACCGGCCAATAATGGGACTCAGGTTCAGATCTGAGTGTCCATATCCCAGGTTCCCACCTGCTACTCACCTGACCAAACAGGACAGACAGATTAGCCATGGACCTGGGAGAAGAAGGAGAGAGGGCTGTAATAGGTGGGGATGAGAAGAGCCAAGAGAAGGGGAAGGAAGCCATGGTGGGGTTGGCAAGGAAACCAGCAGCCTGTGGCCCAGGGTAGAGACGGCTCCTGATAAGGGACTGTGGGAGGCCTGGAATCCAGTGACACCAAACCACTGAACCCTAGCTCCCTCCCTGGCCAGACAAGGATGAGAGCTGTTAGCCTATGGGACTCAGGGACAGTGTTCCAAGAGGAGACAGACGTGGAAGGGAGGCACAGGGCCTCCATGCTGCTCTGGCCTGCAACCTGCAAGTGAAACTGGCTCACAGTGTGCAGGGTGCAGTCATTCCACAAGGAAGGGACCCTAATTAACCCTATGACCTCCCTGCTTTGCCGTAGTGTTGGAGATGCTGCTGTCAACAAAGATCAAGGTTATATGGCCTATGATAGGAGATTAGCCCTGACACTAAAAACTCAAGTCAAATCCTTTCAGAGAAAGAAGAAAATGAAAGGCACTACTGAGCCACAAAGAACAGTGGGGAGCCCCCAGACAGAATTCCTTTGAACAACTTCTACTGTGGGCTCAGCCTGCACGGCCTGTGTATGAGATGGGGGTGTTTAACCATCTAGACCAGTGGTTCTCAACCTGTGGGTCGCGACCCCTTTGTAACAATGAAGATACATCATAACATTAGGAAGGTTGAGAACCACTGATGTAGACAGTATGCAGCCTCCTTTGTCACAGCAGGACTGGGATGGGGCTGTTGGTTACCTTGGGGCTGGGGAGGAAGATGAGTCAACTGCTTCTTAGTCATTGACCCCCTGACTGGCCTGGCCAACCCGTGACAGTGTGTCTGCCACTGTGTGTGCTGGGTCCTCTCTTTCAGAAGAGGAAAGCCTGACTCCCGAGCAATGGTTCAGCTTCAGGATTCACTTCTTCCAGTCTGGAAACCCACAAGGAAATGGTTCCAGGAGGCTCAGCACCACCAGCATTTGCAAAAGGAGTAGGCAGGCAGTGAGCAAGAGGCCAATCCCGCAAGCCATAGCTGGGGAGAAGGGGACACTCTCCACGAGAGCTGGAAGCCATTGGAGCCTGGGAAAGTGACTGGGCTGAAAATGAAGTCCTACACATGCGTGACTCATCCAGGGGCAAGAACCCTGCTCTCAGGGAGGCCAGGTAGGGCCATGACTAGATTGTGAGGCCACTTGGCCTGGACAGTGGTCTGTCTGGGCATCTTCCCTTCTTCACTTGGTCTCCTCCCTGTAGGACCCCAGTACTGATGCGTATACCCCGGCTTCAGTGGCAGGATCCAGGAGGAAACATACCAGCTTCTTTAATACAATAAGACCCAAATCCTCCATGGTGGGTGGTGAAGAATTTTTACATGAGCAGGGCTAGAGGGGCTCCCAAAAGGATGGGCTTAAGGAATATGGCTACAGGAGCAGCCACTGACGCGGGAGACAGTATGGCCTGGCTCCCTGGCATCTGTAGTATAATTCTATTAGCTGGCTAAGAAGGGGAAGTGAGTCCTCAGGGGAGGGGCCAGGACTGGCCAGAGCAGCTGCCTCCCCACAGGGAGATATCCTGCCATTGCCCCAGGGAGGGCTAAGGGTGGGTTTCCTATGGGTCATCAGGACTAAGGTGATGGCACTGCTTATCTGAGTCAGCATGGAGGGGCAGGCAACAGAAGGGATCTGGTGTCCCATTGCTACTGCAAGGTGTATATCTTAGTCCTACCGCCACCTGGGAGCAGCTCCTGGGCTGGGGTAGAGTTGGGGCTGCCCAGGACCAGAGAAGGTCTAAAAGTACTCAGATTAGAGAGTGTGGAACAGAAATGGGGCCGATGGTGTCTGCACCTGGAGATGCTGGATTTGGGGCTAAGAACTGGGAGTCTGTCCTGCTAGCTATCTCTCCGTTATCCTTAGTCTACTCGAGCAGTAAGCCTGGTGGTGGAGAAATCCGTAAGGAATAGCTGACGCACACGCGGCGGTGTGTTAGGAAGCAGGGCACAGACACGTGTCATCAAGACAGGAGTGGTGGCCTTGGGAGGGAGAGCAGAAGAACTCATGGGGGAGGGACATGGGGGCACTGGGGATAGTGCTCTATTTTCCTGACATGGTTGGTGGCAACAAGTCTTCACTCTTTTTTTTTTTTTTTTGAGACAGAGTCTCACTCTGTCAACCTTGGTAGAGTGCCATAGAGTCACACAGCTCACAGCAATCTCCAACTCTTGGGCTTAAGTGATTCTCTTGCCTCAGCCTCCCAAGTAGCTGGGACTACAGGCACCCACCACAACACCAGGCTATTTTTTGTTGCAGTTGCCACTGCTGTTTTAGCTGGCTGGGGCCAGGTTCAAACACACCACCTTCGGTATATGGGGTGGCGCCCTACCCGCTGAGCACAGGCACCACCCAAGTCTTCACTCTTTATTTATTATAGCAGATTTACTCTTTAATTATGTATCATAATATAAACTCATATTTTATGTATTTTTCTATATTCGGTGGGTGGGGGAAGCAAAGGGGAAAACTGGCAATAAAACAGATTTTTGTCTAGCCTGGAAAGAGGAGGGAAAAGAGGCCCACCTTGGGCCATGTGTAGCAGAGCCAGCCCCTCAGCTCTGGTCACCCTGTAGGGGTGGGGACCCAGCTGAGGGGATAGTTTCAGACTCATAAAAAGCACTGGCTAAAGGGGTGGCCCTGGCAGGGACACTGGCTCAGCTTCCCATTTCTAAAAGTGGTCAGTGGGGATGGAAAGACAGTTCTGAAAAAGCTTGTCAAGGATGGTCTGTCCACATGTGGAGTGTATTTGGCCTTAGCAGGGAGGGGATTCTGATGCATGCTGCAACACGGAGGAACCTCGAGGGCAGAGCGCCACATGATAAAATGCAGTCACAAAAGGACAAATATTGCATAATTCCACTTATGGGAGGTCCCTAGCATTGTCAAATTCATAGTGAAGGAAATGATGGGTGCTGGAGATTGAAGGGGAGTTAGTGAAAAATGGGGACAGTTTCAGGTCTGCAAGATGAAGAGAGATCTGGAGATGGAGGGTGGTGATGTTCGCACATGATGTGAGTGTGCCTGTGCCACTGAGCTGCACATTTAACAATAATTAAGATGGTAAATCTTAGGTTGTCTATTTTGCCACAATTACAGAAAATTTTTAAAGTTTGTCAAGAATCCTTTTGAGTCTTTTGGGAGGCTGAAGATGACATTCCTGAGTATACCTGGGTGTTGTTAAGAACCCTGATGGGCAATCTCACCCCAGCCCTGTGCTTCCCTGGAGTAGGTGGGCAGGCCTGGGGCTGTGCAGCAGACCTTCACCACAGCAGGCTGGCACCCCGTCCCCTGGCCCAGCAGGACTCTGAGGGTGACAGGGGGCTTCATAGGGATGGGGATGGCCCTACTTACCTCTGCACTGTCTGGGAGGCCACCAGGAAGGACATGAGGTCTCCCCCTGTGAGTTGCTGTCCAGCCACGAGGGAGCCCCCAATAAATAGGGTGCCCAGGACCATGCCTACATGGGAGGTGGGAGGGGACAGGTGGTGAGGGAGCATGTGGCTGGAGCAAAAGAGCCCCTCTTAGGTATGAGCCTGAGTCCTGGCCCTGCCCTGAGGCTGACTGGAAGACTGAGGCAAACCCCAGAGAGTAGAGTAGGTACCCCTCCACAGCTTCTCTGAGGGTAACTTATAGCACTCCACATATGGCTTAGCTGGGAGGTAGGCCTGCCACCCTCCCCTTGCCTACATGAGATAGCGGCCCGGCATGAAGTAAACTAAAGTACCCAGTGACCGTCCACAGAGAGCCAAGCAGAGGGAGAGCTGCCCCATCATCTGTCTTTATGCTTCCCCTCAAAACCGGCTTACTCACAGTTAAAGGCAATGTTGGAGAGCCCCTGGAACAAGGCTATGCCCCGGCCTAGCTCCTCTGCCTTGTAGCGGCACCCCTCCAGCTCTGCCCTGTAGCGCCTGGTAAGAGAGGCCAGCCACGCTCTTGAGACAGAGGATGGGCTGTGGGGCAGAATGTGTGTGTGTGTGTGCATGTGGGGGGCTCTGCTCTGCTGTATGCCCCGCCCCTCCCAGGACTCACTCCTCCTCCCGCTGCTCCATGGCAAAGGCCCGCACAGTCCGGACGTTGCCCAGGGCCTCATCTGCTACACCAGTTGCCTTGGCAATCTGTGAGGAGTCCAGGAAACATGGGGCGAGGTTAGAACAGGGTGTGATGGGGAAGGCAGTAGGAGAGAAAGCACGGGGAAAGCAGAAGAGGATGGCCAGGAATGCTGGTACCTGCTCTTGACACTGGCGAGACAATTTTCGGAGACCTGAGCCCATCAGGGTACCAACTCCCATCAGGGCAGGTGTGGCCACCATCAGCAGCAATGTGAGGCGTGGGGACAGCATTGACAGGGACACCAGGCAGCCCGTCACTTGGGTGCAGCTTCGCAGTCCCTGGGAGAGGGAATGAAAGCTGGAGGCTAATGGCCATTAGCACTATGACTCAAGGGACTTTATCAAGGGTCAGCCGGCTAGAGCTCTGCACCCAGAAGGCCAAGGCCCCAGCTCTGATGCCTAGGAGCCCAAGTGGCAGTCACAGAACATAATCCTTTCTTGACCAGAGAAGGTACACCCAGCAGGCATGAAGGGCCATGAGAATGCCTATGAGCCATGGCATTCTTCCCCAAGACCATTCCCGGGTGCTTCTCTTCCTGTTTCAGAAGTTGAGCAAAGAGAACTGCACAGGGATACCACCTGGTGACGCCACAGGCTGGTGTCCAGCACCATGCAGCAGCCACTGCGATGGTGGGCATGAAGAAGGGGGAACAGCAATATTCAGGCTCTCTGGGGACTAGGTAGACCCACTGATTTTGCTCTTGTCAGGAAAGGCTCTTGTCTAAGTCCTTGGGAAGGCTTTCTAAAGGAGATAGTTTCAGGGCAGCGGAAAAGCAGCCCACTGACTTTGGATGTGGCCTCAGTATCTCCCTTCCATGAACTTCCATGCTCCCTCACCAGGCACGGGTCTCTCATGAGGGCAGGGCTGGCTTGGTGAGTCTACATCGGGGAGCTGTGGTTGTATGGAGGGGACTGGGGCCACCGACCTGGGAGATGACAAGCTTGAAGGATGACTTAAACTCCTGCACATCAGTTGTCAATCGGCTCACCAGCTGCCCGGTCTTTTTAGCATCAAAGAAAGCAATGTCTTGCCTGGTGGTGAAACATGGAGGCAGGAGGGCGGGAGGAGGAAGATGAAGACATTACTTTAGGATAAGCCCCAAGCCAGGGCCCCTGTGGGCACATCAGTCACCCCCGCCATGCACCCTTAGGCTGACAATACCGGAGCAGGGAGCTGAAGAGGGCCCTTCGCATGTCTACAGCCATGCGCTCGCCAATGTGGGACAGCAGCACAAGGTACCCGAAAGTCAGCAGTCCCTGAACAAGAGGCAGATACACTCAGGGATGCCCTGAGGAATCTCCTGGGTGGCCTGTAGCCCACCCTCTGCTGTACCTGGATGCTGTAGAGAATGAGCAGGTGGGTACTAATATTCCGGGATTCAGTCATGAAACTCCCCACATGGTCCCTTGTGTACTTGGCCACGATCTCTACCAGCTGTCCCAAGAGCAGGGGGATCTGCACGTTCACCAGAGCTGCACCCAAGGCCAGCTGGAACAGGAGGGCAGAGGGGACAGATATTTGGGGGAGGTAGTCCTCCCTGCCCTAGCCTGGACTTTGGCCTTCCCTTTCCCATGGCTGCCCGGGTTTCTGTCCAAGCTGGTCGTGTGGACATACTAGTGCCTCTCCAAAGTTAAAATGCTGGCTTCCACCCCCTGCACCCCTCAAACCCAGCTACTTTGTACTAATTGTCCTGGCATCCCTCACATGCCAGCCCCCTGGGCTACTTCCTGGAGGTTTGAGACACAGTCAGGCAGGAATGCTATCCCTGTGACCGCTGGCTCACAGCCTCTGCAGACCCTTTCTTGGGTCTTTCCTTGTCCCTAGTATGGAGGAGTGGGGAAAGCCTCACCACAATGGCTACCCCCAGGACCAGAAGGTGGGGGCGCAGAAACTGCCAGAAGAGCTTCCAGTTAAAGCGGGACTCCGCAATACTGGGTATGGAGCGGGCAGGAGGGGCCTCTTCTGCCTCACACAGTGCCACAAGGCAGAGGTAAGGACGTTTACTCAGCAGCAGAGGGCCTAGTAAGGCCCCCCCAACCCAGTACCAGGCAGAGGGGCTCCGGCTGGGAGCCAGGGGGGCTCGAGGGCGGTGGGCCCGGAGCTGAGACCGCAGCTGGGCCACGGCCCTGAGGAGGAAGGAGCTGTGGTCACCATCAGAGTACCTGCAAGGAGAGAAAGGCATCGATGGCTTGAGGCCCTGACTGTCCTCCAACTGACCAGTAAACAGATCAGGCTCTGGTTAAGCCCTCCGAACAGTAACATTTCCTCTTCTTTCAGGCCCTTGACCCTGACTTTCTTAGGGCTGATTTATAGCAACTTCAGTTTCTAAGATAAATGTACAAAGTAAAGCTGCTAAGAATGAGGAGGCTGACCATGGAATCAGACTGCACACAGCCAGTCCAAGCCCCTTTCAGCCTCCAGGGGCACTGACTCCCGAGTTGGCAATGGCTGCTAGTCCATAGCACTCCCTGGACAAAGAGAAGCCAGAAGGCCTCAGTGACCAAAGTGCAGAGGTCAGGAGAAGACAAGCTCTTTTTATGCCTGGCACTGCACCTGGTCACTGCAGACACCAAGGCAGACATAGCCCCCACCTCCCTGGGAAGAAGATGACTTTGTTCTCACCTGACAGATAAAAAACATCATGTGGAGCTGAGACAGTTGAAATCACTTGTCCCCAAGCAATAGAACTGAGATAAGAGGGGAATACTGCTGTCAGACTCCAGCATTCAGGCTCATTCTGCTCTGCCTATGTGCTGTGCTCAAGGCTATAGGTGGCTGGGCCAGGGCTGGACATAGGTCTCCTGACCTATTACATCCCTCCCCTACTGGAATTGGAGTGCTGTGGGACAATGCATGAAGGGAAAGGGCACCATACCCTCCTCCACTGGCTGGACGAGGGAAAATAGAAAAATGAAAATTCAAATAATGTCATCCTGGATAGACTGATTACCTTCTCTTTCCTTTAGTTACCATATCTAAAAAGCAGTAATATAGATTGATCTGCTCAAGACATTTTGTGGCTCGGCGCCTATAGCTCAACCAGCTAAGGTGCCAGCCACGTACACCTAAGGTGGAGGGTTCGAATCCCCAGCCCGGACCCGCCAAACAACAATGACGG